GAGCACACCTCGGTTGTGTTGCTGCGTTATCGAAAATTTTATCCTGAACTGTTAAGTTGCCATAACGTGTGGCCGTTAAAAATAGCATTTATGATACAGCACAGGGCTGATTAAGTATTAAAACGATTTTTGATGGCAAAGCCGAAGAAAATGCAATCTTAATTAGTAGTATTGTCGGAGCTTGCTATTGGCTGTAAATATTTAGAACATTTGACGTATAAATTAGTTAACAGGAGAACAGCGAAGATAAAATGGGGACCCAAAAAATAATTGCAATGATTAAGTGCGTCGGCCAACAAGTAAGTAAAGTCAGCAAGTGAATCGATCTTCTGTTAAGATTTTAAGACTATGGAAAGTTGGTGGTGTCCTGGATTTCTTCCCGAGGAAGCTGGGAAAACGGTAGCCGAAGAAGTGCGAAATTCCGCAGGATTTATGGTCTGAATAGTGCGATTTTGTCGGTTTATCGCGGTTAATCCTCTCGGTCCTTTTCTGACCAGAGGAACTTTGGCACATTTCAGCTAATTCAATAAACCGGTGTGTCATTCTACGGAGTGATCCAGTTTTTCGACATGTTTTGCTTTTGGACTTTTAGAGAGCAGGAGACTTTCGTGGGGACTTTAGATGGTGGCAGGCAGTGGTTTACCGAGTGACGAGGTGTGGTTTTTGTGTTGCCATCTGCACGGGCTTGTGATTTGTGGGGCCTTTTGAAGTTTACCGCCTAAATTAAAAATTGTGTACGTCAAATTTATTAAACAACCAGAAATTTAATTTACTTACATACTGCTAGTGTATATCCAGGGTAAAAAGCACAACCGATGAATGATTGATCTATTTGATTTGATGGAATTAGATAATAACAAATCATAAGACTTTGCAGTTAAAAACAATATTTAAATAATCCTGATAAATGCAGAGGATATGGAGTTAATACTAAAGTTAGTTTTCTGGAAGTAATGTCGAGATGAACTTAGGGCATTACTTCTGAAAACTGCTTGCAGCATTGTTTCAAAAAACACAGGTGTAATTTATGAGGTAAAATTCAGGCAATATAATATTTCCTTGTTTAATATTCAGAAAGTTATTCCAAACTGCCACACCAATTTAAGGGAGGAAGAACTTCAATGATTGTGATATTTTCTAGCTGACCCCCCCTAAAAACTTTTCGAACTAGGGTAATTATAGACTAGACAATTACAGTTGCAAATATGTATAATTTTTTCAGATATCTGGCAATAGTACATCCGTTGCATCCAAGAATGTCCAAGACTTCCTCTCTCATCACTATTTTCTTTATTTGGACTGCCAGTATGGTATTTGCTGTGCCGTGTCTAATGTATTCAACAACATTTATCTACAGGTAATATTTAGAAATATAAAAAATTCAACTTTAATTTCAGAATTATAATTATTTACATTAACATGGTGAATAAAGTCAGTTCTTTCAAAGTCTTACGGGAAAGTTCGTTCGTTCATTCATCAAGGGCGTCAAACGAGATAGAATTCAGAGTGTGCAATATTTTCAGAAAAAAATTCGTTGAGAAATTAATTTTAGTCGAAAGAGTTGACATTTATGATGACTGTAAAGCCGAACAGGCTATTTTCTAAGTAAAGTATTATCAGTCAAAAAATTGTCTAGTACATTGAAGGTCGAATACTCGAAGAATGTATTTTTTGCGTATAGGGGCTATTTAATTGTGCTTTTGATCCAAGTGGCTTTCTTTGTGTGTATATGATAAATATCTTAATGTTTCATTGGAGCTAAATGACGACCATCTCTATATTTAATCGAATAATTTTGTTTGTTAGAATGGGCCTTCAGCTCTAAAGTACCGTTCTTTCATTACTAAGTCATGCTCTTAGTGTAGAGACAATTTTCAAATTGTAATAAAAAAAAATACATATTTAATTGCGTTCATAACCGTGGGTTTGAACTAAGGTCAAAATCCGCATTGAACGGTACTTATTGTGTTTATTTTTCTATTGCTGTCTCAGAATGATCCCTTTCACTTTAACTTAGTTAATTAAGTTAGACAACGCTGTTTTTAGTTAATACAAGCGCTCGGAAAAGTGACCTGTTTGATCCGAAGAAAATATAATTGCGCTATAATTTCAAAAAAGCCGTTATTTAAAACACTCCTCATAAAATCAACAAATCTGAACATGCGGGCAGCGTAAATGCTATCACAGAAAACCTACAACCAAGGTTGCCATCTACGTTCACAAAATGGAATGCTGTTCGGATCCAGAGATCCGAAAATAAACTAATCCCCGATTTTTATGGCGCTGGATGGAATTATATCAGGCGGGTGCTGGGCGCTGAAATTCCCTAGCGGGAATCGATTGGCTAAAATAATTTGTTTGGAATTCGAAATGTGGCAGAAACAGTTCAAAATCTAAATCTGTAGTGCAAGATCACTTGCAGCCTATGCAGGTTTATGCATTTTGGTCTGGATTTTGCGCTATTGTAATATTTGATAACAGCCACGATTACCTGCAAAGACAACAAAAAAATAGTTCGAAACGGAAAGTTAACAGTTTTACATATAAAAAGAGTCTTCTGCAGAGAGCATCGTTCGTAAAAGTATAAAATGTTAGTTTAAATTATTTATAGAAAATTATAAAACCTGAAAATTGCAATTTACATGATATTACTAAATACGAAACGCCGCAAAGTGTAATGCGAATTTAAGTAGTTTAAATCATGTCGAATGACAATAATTTGGTGGAATGTTTGCTAAATTGGGCATAGACAGATAATGAAGCTGTAAAAGACAGAATGGAAACCCAATTTCTTATTATTTAAATTTATTTAAAAACTTTGTCGATACTACTGAAATAATTGTTCCCACCGACTCTAAGTTTATTGATAACTTCAAAAAAGTAGATTAATATGTGCAAGAACTGGGAATACATTTAGTACGTAAATCAAAAACATTTTTTCTGGAAAGAGGTTTGCACCCGTCATTATTTACCTACTTCAAATTGCGCTCGATCGGATTAAGTAATTTTACCCATGTTTAAATAATAATAATATAGGCATGGGTAAAACAATGCTTAACTACAAGATCATTAAGGATACATATGGAGCAGAACCTGCGACCTGTGGATCATCTCTTACAGCAGACAAGAAGGATTATTAAACTAAAAAATTGTAGAATTTTCTTACTTAATTGTAACTAACGCACAATTTTATTAATGAATCCACCAAATCTAAATTCAAAATCATTAACTTCCTTATAACCGACACAACAAAGTCAATTAACAGCCCCACAAAGGTAATCCAATATATAACTATAATGTGTGTCAAGTTTTACCCCCAGAAGTTATGAGACGCATAATGCAACATAGCAATGAATCGGCGGGAGAATTTTTCAAACAAATTAAAAATAACAATATTAAAAAAATTGCAAATCTAAAACAAAAACAGCAACCGAGAAATACAAAGCATTGTAACCGAGATTGGGTAGAAAAGTTAACCCAGGAAAGCATACCCAATGATGTCAATAATATTTCGAATTTGGGGCAAAACTTTGCGATCCCTATTGCAAACTCAAGTCAGCTTCCACTGAAGGACCTTATTGATAATGTAGAAGTTGCTTTGACTCGTTTGCCAACTACCACAAAAAAAACTTTAAAAGTAGCCTATACAATTCTAAACTAAACATAAACCAAACCTTGGTAATTAAAGAACTTAGAAAAACAACATATTTCTTAAAAAAACCACCCTGAAATCTTTGTATTGAAACCGGCTAAAACCAACAAACCTCAACGACCGCACAACATACCGAGAAATGAAAAACGACCCGACCAACATATTTGAAAGGAAAAATAATGAGCTGGTTATTGAATGGGAAGGAAAAGAGTTCGTATCACCCAACCAAGCCAAAAATCTCAAGATCCACAATTCCCTCGCATGCACGGCCTTCCTAAGCTGCAAAACTGCACTCAATCACCTTTTGAAAGACAAACATTCTTAATAATGTAATAAATGACAACGCATATTACGTAAAAGACTCGTGGCACTTTAAGGATAAACTTAACAACATATTTATTCCTGAAAATCATATTCTAGTATCACTTGACGTTGTATCACAGTATACAAATATACCACTTGAATTAGCGTTGGAAACAATAACATAAAAATGAAATTGAATTAAGAGATTCACAGATATTCCACTCAACGAATTTTTGGAAGCTACCAAATTAACCCTAACATCTACCTATTTCCTTTTTAACAACAACTATTACTAACAGATAGAAGGCTGTGCAATGGGGTCATCTATATCTAGTGTCGTCGACCAGCTGGTCTTGGAACAACTGGAACCGTCAGTAATTAATAAACTAAGCTTCAAATTGCCCTCCTTTTTCAGGTATGTGGATGATTGAATATTAGCCATTCTACAGACCGAAAAAGAAGATATTTTATCCTGTTTTAATTCATATCCTCCTAAACTGAAATTTACAATTGAAATCGAAGGAAACGACAAAATCAACTTTTTAGACGTAACTTTAATCCGATCAAAAACATAATTAAAACTATCTGGTATACGAAGCAAACATGGTCGAACAAGTATTTAAATTTCAAATCTCAGCACTCTTTCTGTAAAAAAAAATCCGTTGTAATGGGCATTGTAGATCGAGCTATCACACTTACAGATCCTGAGTTTCGACACAGCACAATAGAAAAAGCAGAACAAGTTTTATTAACAAACGATTGCCCACCGGCCATGATTAGCAAAATTTTTAAAAACAGAATATACAAATTTTACAATAATGAACAAAATAAAAAGTCTAAAACTAAACCTGATCAATATCTAACAATCCGTTATATTCCAAACCTCTTAGAAAATGTACAGAATATCTTTCGGAAAAAAAACATGATGGTACACCTTAAAGGATATGACGTTCCGAACTATAACTACACCAAACTTAAAGACAAAATAAAATACACACGTAAATCCAACGTAGTTTATGAAATTCCATGCAATAATTGTGACGGAAAATATATAGGACAAACCAGTCAACTCCTTAAAAACAGATTAAATGGGCATAAGGATCAGGAAAATAAGACAGCTCTAGCAAAGCATATTATCGAAACAGGACACACCTTCAATTACACAGAAACTAAAGTCTTAAAATCGGAATTCAATACAAGGAAGCGGAAACTTTACGAAACAATTGAAATAATTAAAAATGTCAACGGCATTAACTTCAAAGCAGACACTAAGCATTTAAGCATTATTTGCAATGCCATTCTAGCTTAATTAGATTTTATTTATATATTTAAAATTAAAAAAATGCAATAAAGTAAAATAAGTTGACTTTTCCTGGTTGTCTCCAGTCAGAATCAAACATTCACCTGTGCAAATAGTTCAGTCGACATTATCTCTTAGCATGGAGAGACCAGAAATTTTATTTTAATATTTTAAATTCGAAAAAATTCTAACGTGTGACCAAAAAAATTAATTTGTGTACCGTGACATGTGTTTTGGATTGTTTTTGTGCTGACGTAGAATCGTGTCTTAATTAATTTATGTGAGTGAAATATCTGCTCTTTAGTGATTTTTAACCTTGGTATAAATATTAGGAGTTTGTAATAATAATAGCAAAAATATGCTGTTCAAGAACAATAGGCCTGTTAGAGATAGACTTTGCTTTCTCGTTTTCCTTACAGTATCTGTAACTCTGAGGAAGGCAGCAGATCACTGCCAAAACGTTGGAAAATAAAGAAGTTTAATATTTTGGATATGGGTGTACAGCTTAAACCCAAATTTCCCAATTAAGACGACATCCCCAAGAATTTATAAATTAACAATAATGTTCTAAATATGAAATTTATTTGTCATGTCCTTTAGGAGTGATTTAACAGACGACTAACTCGAACGTACTAAAAAGCTAACTAAAACGGAAAAAAAGTATTGACATCATTACTGTTTTTTCTATTAGCGCTCCACATGTTATCTACAAAATGTAAATTAAATGGAAATATCCTAAACAAAACTGAAATTCGATTTGAGCATTTCCAAGTACTTTGGCGGACATTAGCTTGCACCCCCGTCGAATTTTGGATGGCAACTAACTCTGTTTTCCGGTATTAATCAATTTGCTTCCCAAGTATTCGCGAAAGAAATAGTTCATAGGTGTGAAACGCGGACACTTTTCACACTGTTCAAGGTGTCCCCTACTACTAATCAGCAGCCTGGAAGTAGATTTCCCAGATATTCGCTTACAAAATACGCAGGCGCAACGTCTTGTTGAATTCAGATGTTTTGTTTGAAGGCATCGGCTTCATTCGGGCGAAAAACAGAGTAACCCAATCTGAAACTAGTTCTTTACTTGATCACCAACAATTTCTTG